AATCCCAGCTACTCAGGAGGCTGAGGCAGGAGAATTGCCTGAACCCAGGAGGCGGAGGTTGCAGTGAGCCGAGATAGCACCATTGCACTCCAGCCTGGGTAACAAGAGCGAAACTCCGTCTCAAAAAAAAAAAAAAAAAAAAAAAATTGTGGGCCCCAGGCCCTCCCACGACTACAGCCATATTATAAGGCCTTCGAGGACCTGCAGGACAAGATTCTTGGTGCCATCATTGAGAAGTCCAGGACTGCCCTGCAGATCGGCAGTGCCTGTCTGGCTGCAGATGACTTCCGAACCAAGTATGAGAGGGAGCGGACTCTGCTCATGAGTGTGGAGGCTGCCATAATGGCCTGCACAGGGTGCCGATTGAGCTGACCCTGGCCAGGACCGACCTGGAGACGCAGACTGAAGGCCTGAAGGAAGAGCTGGCCTACCTGAAGATATCAAGGCCCTGAGGGGACAAGTGGGAGGTCAGGTCAATGTGGAAGTGGATTCGGCTGTGGGCACCCACGCTGCCAAGATTGTGTGTGACATGTGGAGCCAATATGAGGTCATGGCCGAGCAGAACTGGAAGGATGGTGAAGCCTGGCTCACCAGCTGGACTGAGGAACTAAACCTGGAGATTGCTGGCCACACAGAGCAGCTCCAGATGAACATGTCCAAGGTCACTGACCTGGGGCGCACCCTCCAGGGTCTTGTGATTGAACTGCAGTGGCAGCTTAGCATGAAAGCCACCTTGGAAGGCCACTGATGCACTTTGGAGCTCAGCTGGCACAGATCCAGGCACAGATCATCAGTATTGAAGCTCAGCTGGGCTCTGTGTGAACTGACAGTGAGCGGCAGAATCAGGAATACCAGCACCTCATGGACATCAAGTCGCGGGTGGAGGAGGAGATCGCCACCTTCCTCAGCCTGCTCCAGGGTCAGGAAGATCACTACAACAGCCTGTCCACCTCCAAGATCCTCTAACGCAGCAGGCTCCTGGGCTTCTGCTCTCCGTTAGAGGGTGTCTCCTGAGTAGGAGAATGGAAAGGAAGAGATACATACCCCTAGCTCTTCCCCTGATCTGCCAATGAAGTTTTATGGCCCAAGGAAAAAATAAAATAAAATCATGGACCCAGGGGGAATTCTGTCTGTGTGGCTCTGTGCCAACTTGAGGGGAAAAAGGAGAAATGTGGTCAAAATAAGACCATGTCTCTTACCCTTTAATGTGGTTTTTATCTCGTTCCGTGGTCCACACTGGAGTCAGGCTCATTCCCAATTTAGGGGCTTCTTCACAAAAGTTCTTGTCTGTGGATAGCTGTTAGCTGGACTTTTTGTTGAAGGGACATGAAGTCGGGGACATCCTATTCAACATCTTGCTGTCCTCACTCTCCCCTCCTTGTTCTTTTTGACTTAAAAAAGCGTCTGTCTGATGCAGTGGCTAAAAGCTATAATCACAGCACTTTGGGAGGCCAAGGAGAGAGGAGAGCTTTCGGCAAGGACACTGAGCCTGCAGCGAGCCCTGATCGTGCCACTGCACACCAGCTTGGACAACACAGTGAGACCCTATCTCTACCAAAATAAATAAATAAAGTGAAGCCTCACAGCTTCTTTTGGTCATCTTTACCTTTTTTTTTTTTTTTTCACATCCTCAATTCATTAGGGTCTTACTTGATAGCACTTTTATAGTAGATTTGCTACATTTCCGCATTCACCTTTGGTTACTCTTCCTTCTTATAAGCATGTCATTTGAAATTTGAGATTAATAGACAACCATTCGACTTTCCTGAGCTGTCTCCCATTTTATTTGAATTATTTCTTGGTTTTAAAAAAATCTCTCTTCATTAGCCAGAATCTTATTTGAGACTCAATTTCATGGGTCAAAGCTATTTTTTTCCTTGAATTTTTTTAAAGTTTCCCCAAAGCCAAGGTATTTGCCTGAGTCTATTCGAGCTCCCCTTTTCTGGCCATGACAAGAGCTTTGAACGTTCACAATTTTCATGTCACAGCATATCATTGATAATAGTCCCACCCATGACACACTCACTGGTATGTGACACACTCTCACTTCCACAACTTTCACAAAACTCAAATACATTTTTCCTGAAAATAAAACGTTGTAATCATTTTTAGTTGCCACAAATATTGACTATATATTTGTAAGAATTGCTGTCCACAATGTTTCTGGGGATATTGATAAACAAGCTATTGATTATGTGGCATTCCGTGCTATTTTCACTAACACCAATCTTTCTTTCTCACTCAAGAAAACATACTTGTAAGAACATGAGAGCAATGATATTATTGAGATAACTTTACTCTCAAATGTATGTAATTTTAGAAAGCAGATCATGTGTTATTTTAGTGCTTTCACTATTAGTAATAAATTACTTGGAACACACCTCTTGTACCAAAACCCAGCTGAGAAATAATTCAGGTATTTTCTCCTGAGGTTTCTAACCCTCTCCACACCACCAACTAGTTTTCTTACTCCATCAAAATTAAGTCCAGGCTTAGCTTGATTTTCATTATGAGGACAGTAAGTAATTTATCTGATCCGGATGGTCCAAGTTAAACTGCCTGGACAGATAACCTGCCTTTGTACAGTTCAGGCACCTTTCCATATCCACCATTTGGCTCAGCAGTCTAATATTCTCATACACTCATATTATTTTGAATATTGGTAGTATTTTAGTAGTCTGTTTATATGCGCCTTTTAAATTCATGGCAATGAAATTGCATGACATCTATAGCAGAGTAAAGGTATACAAGTTTTGTAACTTTTTAATTTAAAATAAGTTGATCTAAAATAAATTTAAGCTAAACACAAAATTGTCTGCAAAAGATATTTTTTTAACATTGTTCACAATGAATACTAAATTGAAAACTGTTAGATCATTAGACAATGCACTGAGTGATGAAAGCACCAAGGACAATGAGGCCTGAAAGAAAGGAAAGGAGAGAGGTGTGGAAGGGAAGGGCGGGGTGAGGGGAGGGGAGGGGAGAGGAGGGGAGGGTAAGGAGGCTTATGCTGGAGCTTGCTGCTTGCCAGGCCGTGAACAGCCATTGCAACAGAGTACAGGAATAGCTTCTGTCATGCCTGCCTGCTCTGGGCCCAGAGTCCCACCTGACTGTGCTTCCTGGATAAGCTGGACAGGATCTTTAGGTGATGAAATCAATCTTCCCATCTTTGGAGATAGCTGCTAGCTGTTGTATTCTTGGCCTGTGAATTACAGATCCCTTCTTGTTCAGTAAGCACAGTACAGCCCGGTGGCACCTTTCCTGTTGGGCCACTGCACCAGGTCTTTGAGCAGGCTCCAGATTTCCGCCTGTATCAAAGGGCCTACAGCAGCACCCCCTTACTCGAGGTTTTGTTTTCCATGTTTTCAAATACCCAACTTCAACCACAGTCCCAACATTTTTAATGGAAAATCTACAAATAAGCAATTCATCAATTTTAAGCTGATCTTGGAGGTGGTCCAATCAAGCTAGAGTTTCAGGTTTTGTCTGTTCCAGATGGCTGCCAAGCACAAGTAGGGCTCTAAGTGTTTCCAGGAGGTGTGGCTGTGAGTCGTCTGATGAAATCTTTTGCCATCCTGCTCCATCCACCCAGGATGTAAGTCATCCCTTTGTCTAGAGGATCCACACGATGCACGCCCAGCCCATCGGTCTCTTTGGAGCTGCCTTGGTTATCAGGTGGACTGTCATGGTATCAGAGTCCTTGGGTTCTAGTAACCCTTGTTTTACTTGACAGCGGTCCTGAAACACAAGAATAGTGACACAGGCAACTTGGATATGTCAACGAGAAGCATAAAGTGCTTCCTTTACATGAAAAGGTGAAAGTTCCTGACTTAATAAGGTTTAAAAAAAAAACAAAAAAGAAAGCAAAAAAAAACACCTCATATGCTGAGGTTTCTAAGATTTAAGGTAAGAATGAATCTTTTATCCGTAAGAATTTTCTTAGTCTGTTTTCTGTGGTCATAAAAGAATACCTGAAACTGAGTAATGTATAAAGAAGAGAGGTTTATTTTGACTCACATTCTGGAGGCCTAGAAGTCAAAGATCTGCCCACTATGTTGGTCAGCTTCCAGCGAGGCCTCTGCCATGTCACAGCATGGCAGAGAAGTGGAAAAGGAAGTGGGGTGTGCCAGAGGGGTCAAGGCAAGGAGGAACATCACTGTGTAACCACCAGCTCTGACGGTTACTAATCCAGTCCTGATAGAGAGAATGCTTGCTTTGGGATCTGGGATTCGTTCTTCCTCACCCTAGCTGTTTATGGAGGTGGCAGCTGCTTTCTTAACTGTGGTCAAGTGATGACAGGCAATGCCTGTGGTGCCACTGGCGGGAATCTGGCACACTCAGGATGATCACGCCACAGCTCACAGGCCTGCAGGCCAGCCAGGCACAGAGTCGTAAGTCTGCGGTGAGCCCCTGTGAACTGGATGTACTGCTCACGGGCTGCTGCCGGCAGCACCCAGCAGGCATTGCAGCGGGTAGTGAAGCCCTTGAGAAGCTGCACTGTCTCACTGGGAGCAGGCAGAGAAACAGGGATGGCAGCCACATGCCCTTTGGTGATTTGGTGACTTTGCTAGCGGCATTAGACCAGGGGTCTATTGGTGGAGTCTCTTTCTCTGGTTAGCGGACAGCAGAAAAGCTTTCTGTGGAGATGCTGTACCCAAGCCTTCTTGGTCTGTGAAGTCATGATGTCAGGATCTTTGGAGACAAGGAGTTCCTCTCCCACAGCCAAGGCTAGAGACACAGCAGCTGGTGGTTGGCTCTTCAAGCCCGGGATATCCCTCAGCCCACACCGTCCCTATCACCCTCCTCCTAGGAACCCACCTTCCTGTGAAACCAGAGCGGTCTTAAAAGTAATTTTGGTGAGTTTTGCCTGGTGGCTGACTTCCAAAACAGAGGCACAAGGTGAATGTAGAAGGCAGCAACAGATCCGAAAAGGGAACAAAAACTGCAGACCACTGTGGAGTGTTCCACGGGCCTCATCCAGTCTCTTGATCAGAGCCAGATCCCGGTCACTCTCCCTCGATTCTCCTCTTGAAATGGGTGTCATCACTCATTGGCTTACTCAGATTTCATCCTCATTGCTCGTTGTGGTCTGAGGTTTTGGGTGGTCCCAGTTAGCCAGCTTCCCAAGGATGATGTATCTCTGTCAGTCTAAATCTCATCAAAGATGAGTCTTAGACACCATCTAATGTCCGAGCAGTTTATTCCAGCAGTGCTCTTACTAAGACAGAAAGCAGGAGCTGGCTGCTGTCATGGGCCAGATGCAGTCAGGGGTCAGATGACCAACGGAGTGGGAGGGCTTCTATTTGAAGACCATTCTCAGAGTTTCAGAGATCTTTCCCATTTCTTACACATGTATTCAGTCTGGGTCCATTACCAGGTGTTTTTCATAGAGCAAGTTTAATTTAGTAAGTTCAAGCTTTGTTCTAAGATTTATGAAAGTTGCCTCTGCGCTGATGTGGCCTTGTCTCCTGGATACCCCTGGGCCGGGTTGCATCATCCTGCTAAGTGACATGTAGTATTGCCTCTGTGAGATGCTTGAGTGGGTTTTATCACTATCATGAATCTTAAAGCCATGAGATGTCTCTTGTAGTGTACTATAGTTATTAAAATGCTCTTTTTAAAAAAACAAATTTTATTGATAAACTCCTTTCCTATGTATTTAAGTTCCCTGATGTTTTTAACCTAGGAAAAGAGTCTACCCAAATGAATCCATGGAAGCTTCCCTTTCAAAATCCTAAAATATCCTTTGGGGTTTTACAACAGACTTTCAAAGGGCAGTAAATAATTTCAAAAGCTTTCTCTTTATCAAGAGAATCAAGATAACGTGGCAAAAGACAAACAGCTTGGCTCATGGTCCTTTGGCTACTTGTACATCTTCTGACATAGCAGAAGTGAAGAAAGAAGGAATGAAAAAAAGGAAAGGGAGGGAAGACAAGGAGGGATAAAAGAAAGAAGAAAAGAAGAGCAAATAGCAAAATAATTAAAAGATTAAAGTTATTTTTAAATATCCATACAGTCTGTCAGCAGATGCGTGTAAACTGCAACAGTTGCCGTTTTTAAAGAAATGGTCTATTTGTCATGATCCTCTTTGTATACTTATTTTTGCTAATACCTATATTTCTAAAGAAAAGCAAAATTTTTCTTAAATGCAATATGAACACAACTCTACAGTATTATAATGCATAATGTTACCAAGAGACAGAGCCCTCCCTCTCCTGTGAGTTGGATTTAACCTTAGTGGATGTCAAATCCTTTATGATCTAATGCTCACCATTAGGCAATGTCAGAAAATGTCCACAGCAAATGTCATAATGCACTTTGAACATGAATAAACATCAAGGCTTAGCTGGTTACGCTAATGTTTCCTCATTACTTAAAAAACTGTATGTTTAAATACAGTTTACTTTCTACTTTCACATAAACTTATTTTTAAGAACTGAAACATTACCCTAAAAAGTATTAATATTCATTAAGCACCACTCTAAAAATTATTTCCTCAGACCTTTTCCACACAAGAAAAAAAATCAAAGTTATTTGTCTTTTCAGTTCAGAGGTCTCATGGTATCTTTAAAACACATTTAAAAGCATCCATTTATGATTTTCACTAACAATGTGAAAGTCTGTCCAAAAGTCATCCAAACCTAGGGTCATTATACCCTTAGATGCTAATTTTGTAGCTCACATGCACCTGAGCTGCAGAACCTTAGCAATAATACTCTGGTCTGGAACCTTCACTTTTAAAAGTCACCTGAGATTCCACACTTGACCTAGAACAAAGCAGCAATTTTTCTGAGTCATCCCTGTGCCTTCGTGTCCAGAGCTCACCTACACTTTGAGACCTGGGAAACAGGGTCTCAAATTGAATGTAAGTCTCTTTTGCCAAATCATCTTCCCAAAAAGGTTCTGACTTACATTGCAGCTTGCAAACTTTGTACAACAAGAAGCAAATCAATGGTAAGACAAGAACACAGGCAGTACTGGTCACCACGAGAAGGAGAGACCATTGAGAATCATCTCCTTCAACTCTTTCAGTAGAAAAGGTGATGCATTGGTCTTTCTGGGGAGGCACTCCTTTTGGACAGACACAGGCCATGTATTGGCCACCGGGTTCCAAGCCATCTATGGTTACTTGGTTCTTGCTGGAGTCTGCATTCAACAGCAGCAGGTCCTTCCCACCATACTTGGAATACAACACAGTCACTGCAGAGTTATGTGTGGTGTTGATCATATTCCACGTCAATGTCACACTCTCTTTCGTCTCGCTGACCACCCTGAGGTTTTCTATTGTGGCATTTGTGTTTATAAGCAATGTTTGATCCAACAATGCCAGCTCTTCTTTCTTACTTGTGCTGGCTGGAGGAAGCTTACTTCCACTCTTTGCCACCTTTAAATTTCTTTTCCCATCTGGGTAGAGCTGGAGTGATCGCTTGTTGGCCATGGTGGTACTTGCGGAGATGCTCGTGCTCAGAGTCGTGGTTGAAGAAGCAGCGGAGGAGAAGGATTGAGATAAAGAGAAGGAAGAAATAGAGGGAGGAGACAAAGTAGAAGCAGACAAAGAAGATGTGGGGGGGTAGGAAGAGGACCAAGGGTATGGTGATGCACTAGATACAGACGTAGATCTTCCAGATCCTGGCCGGACCTCCCACTCAGGATGATCTCCAGTTCTTTCAGAAGTGTCTGGTGATATCGTGGTTGTGATAATGCCAAGCACTGTCACAGTAACCACAGCTTCTGACATCCCAGCCAGATTTTTGGCCTTACATTTGTAATCCCCAGCGTCTTTGGCAGAAATGCCTGTCAAGCTCATTATAGACCATCTGACTCCTTCCTCTGGAGATTCTTGTATTACTGAAAGAAAACAAATGTATAATCTGTGAGGGAAAAAAGGAAAATTCAAGCAACCATGCCAACTGAGGAGGAAACAGCTATCCGCTCTATCTGCATCCTCTCACAAAAGCCAAGAGGGCAATGGCATCTTCCAAGTCTCTGGCAATGGGCGATGGTTCTGCAAACTGCTTACATCAAGGTCTAGGACCTGCCAGGTGTTGTGAGGTCTATATAAGGAACAGTATTTTTAAAGGACAAAAGACTGGGAATCAAGAGACTTGGGTTTTAGAAACTTTTGCCCACTAAATACTATGTAGTTGTAGATAAGTCAATTCATGTCTTTAGGCCTCTTTTTCTGCATTTACGAAATAAGAGAAGGAGATAAAGTGATTTCAAAGGTCCCTGTAGAATTTATAGAATTTTAAGTCACTGTAATTCTATAAAATGTTTATCATAAGACCTTACTTAAGTATTTCTTATGATACATTTTCATGGTAATAAAACGCATGTATCCCTATAGCCAGGGGTGTAGCAGATCATTTTTGGGCGTGGCAGAGTCATCATTTGTATTCCAAATAATTTATTTTATATTTAACTTAGGTAAACTAGCAAATCACAGATTCTTTTGTTTGCAGAATTACATATGGTTTTTTTAAAAAATCAGAATTTCGCTATCCTAAACTCTGACATCTGGGTATATTTTCATTCTGTCTTGATTTCAGGAGCTTTTCAAAAAATAATAATGCACAGAACAGTATCCCAGTAGCCCAAAACTTAACTCACTAGCTGAAACAGTGGACCATTGACTACCTATACACGGGAACATTAGGCCTTAACTTCTTTATTTCCATCAGGTTTCATTATTTCAACCTGAAGTTTAGTTTAATTTTGAAGAATTTTAAAAACATATCATTTTAATTTTCAGAATATCACTCTTAAAACTGGGCACAAAGCATGCACATTGTCACACCGGGATCTGAAAAGTCTATATAATCAATATTTATTAAAATTATACTTTTTGATTCATAATAAGGTCTCCATGTAATTTATTATTTAAATAATTACCTGAAAATGAGAGACTTGTACAAAAGGCCCCCCATCTTTTTTTTTTTTGAGACAGAGCCTTACTCTGTCACCCAGGCTGTAGTACGATGGCATGATCTCAACTCACCACAACCTCTGCCCACCAGGTTCAAGTGATTCTTCTGCCTCAGCTTCCTGAGTAGCTGTGATTACAGGTGCGCACAACCAACTGGCTAATTTTTGTGTTTTTAGTAGAGATGGGGTTTCACCACGTTGACGAGGCTGATCTCAAACTCCTGACCTCAGGTGATCTGCCCCCCTCAGCCTCCCAAAGTACTGAGATTACAGGCATGAGCCACCACGCCCGGCCAGCAAAAGGCCCTTTTTTTAAAAAAATGTAATGGTTGTACATTTTAAAGTGAGCTGTATCCAAGATGATGAAGCAAGACAAAGGCCTTGTCTGCCATATCTATCCACTGCATTGTTTTATTCTACCTGAGAAAAAGAGTTTCGAGTGTCTAATTTTATCTAGGTAGTTAGATAATCTGAGGAGAATATTGACCAATAAAATGTACCTTTCAAATCCCTTGCACCCAATACTCTTGAAATATTTTGTCAGTATTAACTGGCTAATTTCAAATTACACAAAACATGATGTTAACTTCAGAGCTTTGTAAACTCCTTTGATCGTAGGGCTGAATCAAGAAAATACCTGTGTAATTAACTGGTGAGCTGTCAGATCTGGTCCATGTGAGCTGTGGGGTGGGGAAGCCAGTGGCATCACACCGCAGTAGAACGTTACTACCCAGAGCAGACATGATTTTGGTGGCCGAGGTCATCACTGATGGTTTCAGACAATGCTCCAACTCAGCCCGCTGAAACAAAATTCCTGTGAGGCGCTCAGGTTCACTGCAAATCATCAGTGGATCCAGAAGCACTATAGCTGGGTCTACAACCTTTGACAACTCAATCATTTTGGAAATATGACAGTCACAGAACCAAGGATTGTCCTGTAGACCTAAAACAGAAGGTAGGAAAGAATAACAAAGGTTATTCTGATAACTTCAGTTTACATCCTGTCTGTTGAGACAGTAGGGATCTACACTGTCTTCCTAAAAACAGAAGTGAAGCAGAGTCACCTCTATGTCAGTTTTGCTCTGCAATCCAACAATTTCAATGAACATGTCCTATCCATTAGTTCAGATCATTAATAATCATGGCTAATACTTACTGAACATTTACTCTGTGCTAGATTATGTTCTAAGCACTTACTATCACATTTAATCCCAATAACCCTATAATAAATGATATTATCCCCACGTTAAAGATGAAGCTCAGACACAGAGGGGCCAAATAACTTGGCCAAGGTCACATAGCTAATCAGTGTCAGAGCCAAGATTTTAATCCAGGTACCATAGAATGCCATAATAGAGTAATAAAGATCTTTCAAAGGTGCTATGGAAATATTTACAGTATTATAAGTATTATAGGGTGCTCAGAGGCACCTAACTCAGCCTGGAATAAGTTATGGTTTTATGTGACTTGAAGGTGTATTGAGGTAATGCAAGCTTTGTGTGGCAAAAAACATAGAGTGAGATGCTGGCTATAGCTGGTGAGAAGCCTAGAAGGGCTAGTAGAAGCAAAAACATGGCTTAGCATGAATGTCATATGTGATGACCACGAAGGTGACTTGGTCACCTTCAAAAGAGAATTCCCTTCAAAAGAGAATCAGCTGCAAGCAATGTGGTTAGCTGACAGCTTCCAGTCACAAGCATCTTCAGGATCTGTCTCACTTTCAGAATTGTTAGCAGAAGGCTTTGAGCCTTCAAGGAGACTATCAGTGAGAGCTTGGAGGAAAGTGAAGGAAATGTTACTGGAAACTAGAGGAAAGAGGATCCTTGCTGTGGAGTGGCAGAAATTTTAGCAGCACTGTCACCTGTGATCCACACGGAAAGTCAAAAGCCTATTCAATGCAATGTGGTCTACCCAAGGATATTTCCAAACAGAGTGTTGAAACTACTCCCTGGTGTTTACTAATAAAATATAAAGAAGGGGCTACAGTTAAAAATCTGTTAAATATAAAGGAATCAAAACTTGCTGAGTTCGATTTAAAAACTATTTCTTATTCTCAGCCTCTCCAAAATTCTCAAATTAAGATTGAACTTCAGAGCAAACATCAAATCCAGATGGGACTATAAAATTATGTGCTAAAACCTCAGAAGGATCTAAGATGGAGCTTTAGAGTATTCTGCCAGACAAAGCTCTCTCTAGGATCTTAGGAGTGATGTTCCATAACAGCCTCACAAAAAGCCCAAGATAGAAAAAAAAATATCACAGAGATTTGTGGTTATGGCTTTTTACTAACGGAGTGGAAGAAAATTTTTACTAAATTGGGAAGAAAAGACAGAACAACAATTTTACAAATTCTAACCATGGTGGAAATGTAACTGTTAGTTCATAAATTCTATATTTCTTTTATACTTTTTAAGATTATTATAGCAAGTCATGATTGGCTCATGTTTTTCTACCAGTAATGGCAAAAGTTTATTTTTCATCTCCTGTTTTAGAAGTTTGCTTCCCTTCCACGGGTGAATAACTTTAAACTTTTCCTCTTATACTTAACCTTGTGAACCTATACTTAGTTACTGAATCAATATTAATTTGAATTGTATTCTTTTAAGTGTTGGCTCTTTCATCCAATTTTATGTGATAAGCAGACTTTCTAGTTTATTTTATATTGCTATGACCAAGTGTGGCTCTGGAACCTAATGTCTGGGCTGAAATCTCGGTCCTATCAAGTTTCACCCCATGAGTAGGTGTCTATAATAACAACCTCTCAGCCTCATCTACAGAATGCAGTGTTCTTTCACAGAGTTGCGTGAATTTTAAATTACATAATTCATGGAAATTACCTGGAGCAATGGTTTATTCCTAGTAGAATCTCTGTGAACTTTAACCTTTCTTGCTAAACATAGTACTTAAAACCTTTTGTAAAATATAGTTATTTCAACCTCTGAATATGTAAGAAATTTCATACACATAAAACATTTTCCCTATACTAGGGTCCATATTTTCTAGATCTTAACAAAAGAAACCAAATGTAATACAACCTGTACATCTACTAAAAAAGAATTCAAAACAAGTACATAAGAAATGGTGGAGATGTGATCTGATAGATACTGAAATATCTATAATAATGAAGTCAGTTCATAGATATTCAAAAACTCACTTCACCAACAGACACCACATTAGATATTCAATCATTATTGTATATATTAGTTGACCTGATATGTGAAGGCCAGATTTAAATATATGAAAGATAAATTTAAAAAGTAATAGGAAATGACATTCTCACAAACTTTACTGTGCCTGGGTTCCTGATGAGGCTCAACCACTAACTCTGTGCCCTGGATGATGCAACCTTGCTGAGCCTCAGTTTTCTTATCAGCAAAATGGGAGAGTTGACTAGATAAATGCTAGAGCTTTTTACAGCCATATGTTCTATCAGCCTATAAAATAAAAATAATGATCATAGACTAAAAGAAACCAAAGATGGAACAACAAATTAACACTAAAATCCATCACTCAGTAAAAAGCAGAATATGATAGAATGCCTAATTTGTAACATTTTTATCTCTATTGATTGAGGTGCTAAAGATAATCTGTGCATCTAGACTGTCCTAATAGTGCTTTTTTTATGACAGAGTCTCGCTCTGTCACCCAAGCTGGAGTGTAGTGGCCACGATCTCGGCTCACTGCAACCTCTACCTCCCAGGTTCAAGCGATTCTCCTGCCTCAGCCTCCTAAGCAGTTGGGATTACAGGCGCTCATCACCAGGCCCAACTAATTTTTTGTATTTTTAGTAGAAATGGGGTTTCACCATGTTGGTCAGGCTGGTTTTGAACTCCTGATATCAGGTGATCTGCCTGCCTTGGCCTCTCAAAGTCCTGGGATTACTGGCGTGAGCCACGGCACTCAGCCCAATAGCACTTATTTTTAAAAGTTAAATCTTTCAAGTTTGTGACCCTTCTATGTCTACATTGATACACAGTTAAAATATGAATATCATACAAAATGAAACCAGTTTATCAACTTTGACTACAATAAAGAGTAAAGGTAGTCAAGAGTAAAGGTAGTCAATTCTCCTTTTATAAACAATATATCTGATTTTACTTATTAAAATGGAGGGAAGGGGGAATTACTACAGTTTCGAAATTCTTCCAAAGGCTGAAATCCCTTCAGTAGTCTTATTTTACTTTGTATGCCTATTTTTTACATTAACCAGTTTTGCCTTATACACATTTAAATATTATAAAGAACTAGATTTAGGATTAGATTGTTCGACTGTGACCCACATGGTTTAACAAACTAATCAAGTCAGTTGGTGTGTAATGTTCCAGTAACCTCTACAAAAAGTTACAAAAGATGTAAAATGTTGCTATCAATTGGTATTGTCAGAATTGTGAGCTGTAGTTTGCAAGAAATCAATGAAATAAAGATATGGTGTGCCTCCCACAGATAATTAAGTCTCAAAGTGAAGATCCAATCACAGTGTCTGCTCCCTGAGCGCAAGATAAAACCAGCAAAGAGAAGAGCACAGGACACAAACTGGCAAGTGTCTTCCAGGGCAAAGACATGTTATCATAGTGCCTAAGAGGAGAAGATGGCATATTTTAAGTTAAATAAAAACAATCAAAAGATTTAGAACAAAACATGTAAGCACCCAACGCGTAAGCACCCACCTTAATATCGTAAGAATTCATAAATAGAATGATTCTAAAACATTTATATTGAAATAAAAGATTACTTATTTCTTACATCTATAAATTTGTGTCAATATTCTATACATAAAAGCTATGCTCATCATAGCTTTTTATCATTTGATTTTAAGATTAATTTCTAAATCTGGCAGCACATCAAATTTATTCAGTTATATAATATGTATAAAATATTGGAATAAAATACTTTGAAAACACTTCAACTTATGCCAGATTTTTTCTTTTTTCTTTTTTTATCTAATATTTATTTAATAATAATTCTAGTTCCGTAGGTTTTCATGTTATGCCAACTTGTATCCAAGTTTAATTACAGAAAAGGCAACAATTTCTAAATTGGTGGCATACATTTCTTTATAATTTTTTAATGTAAGGCCATTTATTAAAATAGACAAACTGTAAGATGAAAATGAAGGCAACAGAAAAATTCAACTTTTCACAACCAAAAATAATAGCACAACCTCAGAAATAATTTAGAAAAAAGTGTTGTTAAAAGATACATTGCAGATCTCCTTTCCATTCCCCAAGATTATGTCAATTCATGGTTCTAAATAAATCTTTTTAAAGTAAGAGATTAAAAACTCATCTTCAGTGTGTATGTAAATTCTGTGTTTTATCACACAGGTATGTTTATTCAACACTATCTTTTGAAAATGGGCCATTTAAAAAGACATAGCAATTTTCATGCTGTAAGTTTCATTCAACTTTACTTAGGGTTGAATACACAAGAAGCGTGCCTTTAATGCATAAAAATCACAGTGGATAGCAGCAAAGGACTGGGCGGGGGCTACTGAGGAGAATTTGATAATTCACACTGTGATTACTCTACACATTGATGAAATATAATTCACACCTCTAAAACCTCAAGACTTCCCTTTTTAAAGAACCAAAAGAAACCCAAGACGCCTTGCTGACACTTCCCCACCCCTAAACAAACTGATGACTCTTTCACACATAAAACTGAAATGGTTTTGGCAGCAAAAGGTTTTGATAGCTATGAAAGTTTGTAAACTGTGTTTCAATCTCTTTTTCTTATTCCCAGCATGCAAGATGCAGGGTTCTCAGTCTTTCAGTAGTGCTTCTCCTGTACATAATCCTTCATTTTGTTTGGCAAAGGCAGTTTCTGAATTAAGTCTATCCTGGTATACTAACGTATGACAAAACGGCACAAGTACTGCAGGGAGCACACCTGCATGAACCAGGACACTGGGTTGGTGAGTCTGACGGGGTAAGTTGCAGATCC